TTGTTTTGAGATTTTTAAATAAAGATGGATTTATTATGGAGCGTTTCTTTGGGCTTGTTCATGTACCCGACACTACATCACAAACTCTTAAAAATGCAATTTATTCTGTATTATCACGTAATAATCTTGATCTTAAGTCAATTCGCGGTCAAGGGTATGATGGTGCAAGCAATATGCGAGGTCATTTCAAGGGTTTGCAAGCATTGATTTCAAATGACTATCCATATGCGTATTATGTTCATTGTTTTGCCCATCGATTACAATTAGCCTTAATGGCTGCTTCACAAGGAGTTGTTGCATTACAATAGTTTTTACTCGATTATCTTTTATTATCAATGTTGTTGGTGCTTCCTCCAAGCGTACCGACCAACATAGAGATGCACAAGCTGAGGAAATTGCATATAAGATTTCTGTTGACGAGTTAAGGACAGGTAAAGGTCTGAATCAAATTGGTACCTTACAACGAGCTGGTGATACTCGATGGAGTTCTCACCTCAAATCAGTTTCGAGCTTAATCAAAATGTTTAGTCCAACTTGTGAGGTTTTACTTAAAATTATTAAGGATGGAACTGGTCTAATCAAAGGTGATGCAGATTCAACATATGAGTCTATTACTACATTTGAGTTCATTTTCGTTCTTCATCTCGAGCAAGAAATAATGGAGATCATTGATTTACTTTGTCAAGCTTTACAAAGACAATCTCAAGATATTTGTAATGCATTGAGGCTAGTTGCATCCACCAAATTGTTATTGCAAAAAATGAAAGATGAAAGATGGGATGGTTTGTTGTCTCTTGCTATGTCGTTTTGTCAAGAACGTAACATTGATATCCCTGATATGACTTCTCCATACTTTACTAGAGGGGCCCGAGCGTGTAATGAGCTTAGTGATCATACACTAGAACATCATTACCGAGTGGATATATTTTACGAAGCAATTAATTGTCAGTTAATGGAACTAAATCATCGATTCAGTGATAGATCAACAGAGTTGCTTCGACTTTCAACAACATTAGATCCTAAAAGTGTTGATGAGACTTTTCGATGTGGTGATGTAATTAAGTTAGTAGAGAAGTTTTATCCTCAAGATTTCAATGAGCAAGAGAAAGTAGTTTTGAAAATACAACTTCAACATTATGAGATTGATGTTGTTCAGCATGTAGATTATAAACTATTGACATCTATGTCAGAATTGTGCCAATGGTTGATAAAGACTAGAAGAGTAGTGAACTTTCATCTTATTAATCGAGTAGCTAGTCTCATACTTACTCTTCCAGTTTCTACTGCTACAACGGAGAGATCGTTTTCAGCAATGAACCTCATTAAAACAAAGTTACGGAACAAAATGGAAGACGAGTTTTTGAATGACTCATTGGTTTTGCACTTCGAGCGGGAACTTGTTGAAAAGATTAGTTTAGAGACGGTTATAGAAGACTTTAAAAAAGCAAAAGATCGTCGCGTTCCACTTTGATAAAGATATAACGATCTATTATTTTTCTTGTTTACACTTTTGATATGTCATAATTTTGTAATAAATAAAACTTCTTTATATATTTTAATTATGAAGTTTTGATTTCGCCCCCTAGTTGTAGTGCTTGTGTTCCGCCCCTGTTGGAACCAGAAATACCTAAAACGTTTAATCATAAAACCATAAGCACAAAGTTTAGTGAGTTTTCCCAAAATAGCACATGTCATACATAAAAGTGGGCCCAATCCTAAGGATATATTTAAACCCATGTGCAAGCTATGATCCAACCATAGTCCTATAGTCACTTCCCTTGCTACAACCTAGTTGCAGTCTTTTCTACCATGATCCAGCCATGGTCTTCATATAAGTGTTGTGATTCAACCGCAATGTTTTATACAAGTTTTGTGATCAAAACACAGTCTCTCATGTAAGAGTCACAAAGACAGACTAGCATCCTACATAGTGTAGTTAGAATACTTACCTCTCATTTAAAGCCAAAAACACCAAAGCTCGAATAGTAGAAAAGATGGTGCTACACATCACCTAATAAACATCCAAAGTCCAATCATATTCTACCCTCTAATGTTGGAACATGAAGTGATCTTTATGCAATCCGAGATGGACACTTCTGAAGTTACAAGTATTCCAAGATGTTGATCATTCCAAAGTGAAGACAAATTTGAGATACAATTTCTATTTAGAAACATGTTGTGTCTGTAATTCATTTAATGTTGCAAGTACTCTTTTGTATGGTTCTTATTGTTTTGTAGTGTTGTACAAGAGACAAAATCAACAACAATAGATATTTTAGTGTGTTCATCATCGGATTCCATGCACAATTTTTTGTGATTTGTCTTTAGTGAGTTCCTATATATTTAAAGTGTTGTCAACCTTAGTAGAAAATAGGAGAGAGTGAATGTATGAAACAATAGTTGTAAACCCTTTTCACTCATATCAAGAATCATTTAGTCAATCATTCTCCTATATTCTTCTTGTTCTTAAATCACTTTACATTGTTCATACTTATTATTATCGTTTTCTTATAGAGCACTTTGTTGATTATCTTAATCCTGAGATAAGACTGGTTTACCAGACTTGACTGGATCTTTATTATAAGAAAAAATTGATCTTAAGAAAAATCAAGGTTTGAGTTCTCAACCTTGTCCGTGCAGATCCTTACATCAATATATGGTATCAGAGCCTAAGTGGTTGTCCTTTGAATCCATAAGAACGGATTGTGGTTGATAGTTGATTACCATGGTATCTTAATCATTTGTGTGTTCAAGATAAAAGTTCTTCTATATACCACTTCAACTCTAATACCTTTAACTTCAATGGCTGCTTCTAATCAATCTAAACAAATGTATTCAATGCAAATAGCAAATAGCACAAGTTTCCCTTTGCGTGCCCCATTGCTAGTTATCGAAGAGTATGATCATTGGAAAGTTAGAATGAAGAGATTTTTGCTTGGTAAAGGAAAAAATGAAGAAATATGGAGGTTTGTGAAAGAATATTCTCATGTTCCTGTTAGACAAGTCGTTAGAGATGTTGTTTCCACTCCCATGGGTCAAGAAGAAACTCGATCGTCACCACTGACTACAATTGACATTGAAAAGCTTCATGCAGATTAAATCGCCTTCTCTGGTTTATTGTGTACCTCCATCTCTCTTTGAGCACATTAAGTTGTGCAAATATGAAAAGATATTTGGGATACACTACGTGATTTGTTTAAAGGTTCAAATTACATGACGGATAAGCATTTGACATCTATGGTAAAAGACTTTGACGCCTTCACTACCACTCCTGGTGAATCTTCAGCTTCTGCATCAAACCGGTATAGGATGATGGTGAACAACCTGACAGTATATGGAGTAGTCCGAACTCCACTCAAGTACAATCTCAAGTTCATTAACAGCCTTGGAAAAGGATAGGGAAATGTTAAGTCATGTCTTGAGAGCAATGGGTCTCTAAAGAAAATGAAGCTCTATCATTTGTTTGACGAACCTCAAGGTCATAAATCTAACATTACTCAAATGTTGAGAGAAACCTCTTAAGGTCCTCTCGCTTTAGTCAGCTCGATCTATCCAATGATTCCAAACCCATCTGTTTAAGATCCATTTGGAGCCATCCCATCAGTTCCGCATGTTCAACCCACACTAATCACTCCACTTGTTGCACATGTTCCTCAAGTTCCGAGTTACTCATTTGAAAGAAGGTTTTAACCCAGAAAAAGCATATTCCGAACTTTGTTTCCAACAAAAGTTTGCACTTCTATCTATGAAGTACAGACATCATTGGAATCCTAATAAAAAACCTTCTCAAAACAGATTTCAAGATCCTAACTAAAGTAATCCTCAACCTTACCCTAAACCTACTGAAAATCCACCAGCTTATAGGCCTAACATTCCTAATTGCTCCTCGGAACCTTGGGAAGTTCCGAACTCAGTCAAGACTAAGATTGTATGTCATAAATGTGTTCTTGGAAACCATTATTCTAAGGATTGTTTGGATGAAGTTTCTTAAAAACCAAAGGTGAAAGACTCTGCCTATTATGCTCGCAGAGCATAAGAAGTTGCTAAAAGTGAAAACGCTTTTGTCACAACGGTTTAACTGTAATCCCAATTCAATAAAAACTACCGTAGACATTTTGTTTAAAAAAATGCTAGCAACTCATTATTTGATTGTTCGAATTCCTATGATATATCTATTCAATTATAAGTGTTTATAAGTGTTTCAAGTTATAATAAATGCAAAGCCCCTGCTTTAGAGAATGATGGAACTCTCATAAAGATAATTAACACAAACAAACTCAAAAGTTTGTACATGCAATTATCCAAGAAACCAACACTTAGTAAAATAGCTATAAAACTTAAAACCTACTACTAAGAACTAACATCTTAAAAAATAACTATTTATTATCTTTTTTTTAGAAAATAACACAAATATGAACATATCTTAACAAAAGAACATCAAAATAACACTAAACTAATGACATCTACCATCGAAACAAATAAGTGAATCTAACACATAAAACAATTGAATATTAGAACATGTAGACATGGAAACGTGCATATAAGAAGAGGTTAAAAACTAAGTACTTGCAATAAAACAAGTGAACGAGTCTTTTACCATTGCACTAGTATTTCAATTGCAAATCGATCATTGTGCTTGTTCATATCTATAATACAACACTAAAGTGCACCAAAATGAATTATTTAAACCATTACAATAATATGTTTATTGCAAGATAAACATACCAAATGGCCTATAATCACTCACCTTGGCACATTTAAATGTATTAGAAGTTAACACGGACAATGATTGGTTTGAAATCGAAAATCAAAATACAAGTGTAATGGTCCAATTGGTAGAAATTAATAAATCTAGAATGTGCATTGCGCATGAACCTAGAAATGAAGAGTTCATCTGTGGATTTTGATGAGAAAGAGGAGACCGACTAGAATACCACTTATAATTCATCATTAAAATAAAAATTATTAACTTAACAGATTAGCAGAATCAGCCAATATTCATGGACCCTGGCATCGAACCTGTTAGGGGAGCAGAATCAGCCATTCCAGTTGGTAACTTGGGCTCACCTCCTTTTCCCCTTCTTCTCATCCATAGATATTTTATAATTAAATTGGTATCCTATCGATGTTCTTCATTGGATCAACGACTGAATTCCTTGTGCCTTCTCCTGATTTATACACAAAAAACAAAAACGCCTTTTATTTCTCTGACTGTTTATCAAATCCTAACGCCCATATTCAACATCTCCATACGATGAAAACTGAGTCAACAATCTCTAAGATGAAAGTTCAAAAGGAACATTATACCGTCGATATGCTTAAAAGTTACAAATCATAACCTTTCGATTTGCAGGAAGCCAAGAGCGGCCACTGAACATGATGGAGGAGAATTGTGGAAGTTGTGTGGATCGACCATTACGATTGTTGGTTGGCTATGAGCAGCGACCTACTGGAAGAGTCTGCGATCTTTGCAAAGCCTTTTCTGGCAGATCCGATGGTGGCAGTAATGGCCGGTGAAACCAAATCTAACGGCTGGGAAGCTAGATCGGAAAGAAGACATAAAGAAGGAGGTGGTTTTCAATTTTGTGAGGAGTAGAGGCAGAGGGAAGAGGCAGTGGTGCGGTGGTTTGGCGAAGGCAATGTGGTAGTTTCAGTGAAGCCAGTGCGGTGGTTCCGGTGATAGTAGTACATTGGTTCAATGGTGGTGTAACTTCAAATGACGTATCGGTAGAGTTGGGGTTGGTAGCTAGGTGACTAGGTGGGAAGTGATTTTAAATTATATTTTTATTTATGATTTAAATTGAAAAACTCAGGTGATCCGGATTTGTTCTCAATTTAAGAAATGTTCTCATTTGAACATATATATATATATATATATATATATATATATATATATATATATATATATATATATATATATATTTATATTTGCAGTCATATCGTGTTTGTATACAACTTAATACCTCTTAATTAGAGGTATATATGAATCTTTAAGATTCAAAATGTTTGTTTACCACTTAATTGATGGTTTGAATATGAAAATACTGATTTACCAAATCAGATGTTTAAGTTGGTCTAAAAAGAAAAAAAGACGTGCCCTAACCCTATCGTATCCAATTAGCTTTCTCGCATATGTTTCTCTTGCTCTCTACCTTTGGCGACTACAACCGGAGAACAACCGACAACGCTCCTCCCCATCTCCATCTTCTGCCGTCTCCACCGCAAGTATGTGTTTCTCTCTCTTTTTTTTTTCTTTTTTGTTGATATGTTGCTTTATGTTGGTTCTGTTGATATATTGAAGACAATAAGTTGCGATTTTGCTGATATAAGTTGAGATGGGTTGATTTTTAAAATACATGTTAGTTGTAATTGGTTTTGATTTGTTGTGATTTTCTCTCGGTTTTTGTTGAAATCTGTTGTTAATCTGGGTGATTTTGTTGAATTTGGAAATATATATTTATGTATAGCTGAATTATGTGTTCATTTGCTTAAATTTGTTTGTTGAACTCTGCAGATTTTATGTTCATTTGGTGAATTATGCTTATGTATTGCGGAAAATATATTCCTAGTTCTGATTTGTTCATCAAATCTTGAATGGTCTTGCACGTAAATTGCCTCATGATATTGTGTTAATTTTAGTAAATGAGAGAAGGTGTTGAATTGGACTGCATGTCCTTTAGCTAATCTTAAGCCTTGGAAGATGTTAAAATGTTTGTTGTTAAAGAAATCTTGGGATGAATCTTGACTATCGTATTTTTTTATGTGTGTGTGTTTTTTTTTTTTTTGGTTATCTGATATTGAAATCTAAAATCTGGATGTGTTTTTGCTTAAAATATGTTTTGTTTTTTCTTGAAATTTGATGTGTAACTTATGCAAGTTTTTGAGTTTCTTGTATAGATTGATAAGAAACATTTATACTAAAAACGTTTGTTGTTTCTTTTATTTTAAATTTCCTTTAAGTATGTGGCACGTCATTTTGGCTACATGCTTTACACAGGCCATTTCAAATGCTTTACACTAGTGATTTTCACAAGAGGTTTTGGTTGATCAAATGGCATTTTCGCTACCAAAAGATCCGAGCTTCAAAGCAGCATTAACAGCCGCAATTTTGGAAGAATGGTTCAAACAAAATCACTTACAAAAGTGCTTGTTTTGGTGGCTACTAGCCACTCCTTTGGTCGATTTGAAAATATTTTAATATGCTTCGAATTTTGTAGGATTTTATTTGGTTTTGGATTTAAAAATTTTTATATTTATTGGATTTTATATGACGTTTATATCTTTTTATGATTATTCAATGATTTGGTTTTGATCTTTTTAAAATAAAAAAAAAAAAAAAATTGAATTCAACAAAAAGATAATATAAAATGGTAAAATAATCATTTTTATCATTCAACGTAATAAATCACAAGTTCAAAACAAATTAAATATTATAATTTAAATCTTAAAAATTCAATCCTTCTTAAATTCAATTTTAAAAATTAAGAATTTAAAAATCGAGCTACTACCAAACAACCTCAATGTTATTGAGCCATATTGTTTCACATAAAAACAAAATTCATATTTTCGTATATGGTTATTTACCAAAAATGATAACTATTTAGATCATTTTCTATATTTATAATTATTTTTAGGTAAAAAAATATATATTTTTTAATAAAATAAGTATTATCATTTTCTTTTATTTCAAAATGGGAACAAAACTAAAAACGTATGACACGTCCGAGATAAAGTTAAAGTGTTAATCGTCAAATGACAAACGGAGCGTCCCACCGTGGACTGCGTCGTCAGCGCGTAGTTTATGGACGTAGGAAACAGGCGCGTGAGGGAAGGAACAGCGTATGGCGTATGGTACCTGGAAACAGTAAAAAGCCCACACGCTCTCATCTTTTGACCTTTTCCTTTTTAACGCCGTCACCCCACCACTTTTCATGCTTTTACATTATGCCCCTTCAACTTTTTAGATTCAATAAACAGTCATGTTCCGTCAATCTATTCTATTTTACATTTTTATATCCCAGAATTCGTATAATTTAAAGAAGCCAAGTAACGCATTTCATATTATATAACATATATTATTATAGAACTAAATAGATTATTATATATATATATATATCTATTTTATTTATTATATACTGTTATCGTTTTTTTATGTCCTAAATAATGGTACACCGGTTTGGACCCACATATCTGAGTGTAGATGAAGATTTAATTAAAACAACACTGCATTAAATCTAAAATATTTAGTAAACATTTTTTTTATTAACATTCATTTCTAATCATTTTTAAATTAAAATTTTCATTTTTCCATTATATAGGTCATTAGTCACTGGATTTACTATTCTAATATTCGTTGAATTTAATCTGTCAAAAATAATTTCATATCAAATAAATTATGTTTTTAATTTCTTAAAAGTATTATACATAATTTTCTTCAGATTTAAAACTATTATTATTGTAAAATTTATGTAACTTAACATGGATTTTAATTTATATACCATTCAAAGTGTGCATCATTATATTATTTAATTGTTATTATTATTATTTCAATATTATTATTATTATTATTATATTTAAGCAAATACATTTTTTTATGATAATAAAAGATAAACCTTTTGGAAGTTTTATAATAGAAATAAAATAAAATACTATAATAACAATTTAATAAAAGATATTATTTTTTTTTATCTATAATACTTTCAAAAATAATTTTCTAAAAGTCCTAGCTCCTCACCAGTCACCACTACCAACATCATAATTTCTATTTTGACAAATTATTTTTGTGATTATGATCATCAGGTAGGCTTCTATGATGGTGATTTTACTTATATATAAATTTCTAACTTCTGAAAAGAGTGTATGTGCATGAATCATGATAATGATATCTACTAAATTTGATGATACCTCTCAAAAAGCATAAGCATCAACATAAAATGAACGATTATTTAACGAACAAGAAGCAACACAAGAAAAACATCGTCTATTGTCTGCTCCAAATCATTTCATAGCCAAATGGGCGGAGGCTCATTCAAATCTATACCCAATCCACGTCTTACTAGCCCCAGAACTCCCACCGTTTTGACGTCAGAACCATCTGCCAACGAGAACTCACCGGAGCCTCCGGCGGAGGTGCAGCACCCACCAGCATGGCGGAAGTCTTTGAGGACACTAGTACGAAGGAACTTAAACTCCCCACCACCGACCACATGTCTGGCAGGCTGCGGAGGAACCAACCGGCCGTGCTGTTCAGCCGGGAAGTTAGTCATGAGGTTTAGAGACAACGACGGTGTCGGTGGTACTGGTGACGGCGGCGGCGGCATGGGAAAGTTTGTCTTGGCTTTAGGGCCACGAAGGGAGCGTGCAGCACCGTCGTAAGCCATGGCGGCTTCCTCCGGCGTATTGAAAGTGCCTAACCAGACACGAGATTTCTTCCACGGGTCACGTATCTCCGCCGCGTAACGGCCCCACGGCCGCTTCCTTACACCCCTGTAGTGTCCCTCACGAGGAGACGCCATGAAAGTGAATCTTGAAAGTGGGTGGCTTTAAAGAAAGAGAAAGAGTGGGCGGAAAACGGAAATGGATTGGATGTGTGTTTGTTTGTGGGTCAAATTAAAGAGTGTGAAAAAGCGGCAGCGGTGGCCCACCGATCACCGTAATCGACGGCTGGACGGCACACGTCCAAGATAAGCAATTATGGTCTCCACAGCGGGATGGTTGGAATTAATTGTACTGTATGCATTAAATGTTGTAAATGATTATAGATTTGTAAATTTGAACTCTGGAAATGAGTAGCCTCTCTTTGATATACTTCCTTAGGTTAGGGAACATAGATGATAGATGATAGGGATTAGGGAGGTGGGGGGGTGGGGGCCTGGATTTTGTGTTGATTATTCTTTGATTCTCTTTTAATCGCCACCGTTGATTTCTGAATGTTTGTTTGGTAGGGTTTCGGTTAGGTTGTCGTTAAAGTTTGACTGAATTACAATTATTTGTATGTACGTATTAATTGTAGTCTTGTAGATTGTTTGATAAATGTATTTAGCTTAGAAGTTTATGTTAAATTTTGAATTTATCTTCATCCTTTATTTTCTCTATAATCAAACTAAGTTCGAGCGATAGAAATTCGGAAATAACAAAAAAAATCATATCTTCATCTTGTCTTTGGAAGTAAATCGAATATCATAAAGCGTTATTAATACCAAATGTGATGTTTTCTCCTTTACCCAGGGTTCTTGACATTTGACAACACCTGAAAAGAATGACACTAAATCTACTCACCCATGTGATGCGAAACCAACCAGTGTATGTTTCGGTGCCTAGGTGTCGAGCACTTGCATTGAATTAAGCTCCATATGCAGTGTTCTTAAAGCTCCCATCCTAAATGTTCATGTAGAAATAGAAAAGGTTCTCCTTTAAACGTAAAAGATAATCAATTACAAGTGGAATTCGCTTGCGAGACTAAGCATTATCAGAAAACATTATGCTGAAATGTCGCAATCTTGTGGCATCCACCTCCATTTCATATAATTATTGTTTACTCTCCTTGTGGCATCATTTATTAACTTTAAAAAAATCCTTAATTAAGACCAAATCCTTAGAGTTATACGAAGGATCCAATGATATATTGATATGAAGCGAGTAAACCATATACATTCACGTTCCTACCACCATCCAGGTAATTAACAATTGAAGATAATAGTTGAAAATGAATTTAAAGAGTGTTGTATAAAGTTTGGAACTATTTTTTTGAATGTGGATTCTAATGAAAATTTTAATTTATTGTCTTTTCAAAAAAGCCAATAAATTAAAAATATGTTCGGTAATCGCTAACTTTTCAATAAAAAAATTAATTTTTCAAAAAGTCAGAAATTTTTGACTTTTCAGAAAAATTAAAAAGGCCTTTGAGAAACCATCCAAAACACACCAAAATAAAATAGAGACTGTGGTTGATATTTTGTAATTTGTTAAAAAAAATTGATTGTTATCCGAATGTTTTTATCACATATAGAGTCCTATTAACTATTCTTATAATTGTTGCATTTGAAAAAAAAAAGTTTTATAAAGTTGAAGTTATTGAAAAATTATTTGAGGTGTTTGAGGTCACAAGAAGCATTTTTTTTCTTTAAGTATGTGGATTTTTGAATTCGAAAATGTTATATTTTGAAGCTATTAAAAGTAATTTTTCTTTTAATTATCGAGTTATTATAAAATAAGTTGATGATACTTTTATATTTTAAAGACCTTTTTTCATCTCTTATTGAACCCAAAATATGTTTGGAATAGGTCTAAATTAACTATTATCAACATTACAAAATTGAGTTTGCCAAAATTCGAATTTCATATGCTTCGACATTTAAAAAAAAAATATTCACATTCATAACTAAACTATAGACAAAATTATATAAAATAATCAGAGATTTGATTTAATTTTCACATATATTTAACATGGATGTTACAACTAATTTAGAGCAGCAATTTAAACGAATTAGTTTTCTTTTTTTTTTTTCTTTTTTTTTTTACATTTTTTATTGTGATTACTAATTAGGATTAGGCCATTTAATCGTTAAGTTTATAATGTCAAGACGTTGATGCATTAGGAATTGATTCCCTTCAACATTAAAATTATTAGAGCATCTCCGATGAGACCTTATTTAGAGGTTCAAAACATTGTTACATCATTGTTGCTCATTATTGATACAAGGAAGTGACCCCTGCAATTTTTTTATGAAGAACTAATGTTAAGTGTTTTGGAGTAAAACACAGAATGAATGGATGGAATAACAGTAATTTTATGAGAAGACCACTACAAGATAGTTATCTTTAGCTTCTGTGTGCTCTACGCTAAAAGTATACCTTGAAATGTATTTTATTAAGATAATATCTTGTGTAGATATGTTGTCAAACCCATGGTGGTATAGTCTATGTTAGATCATCATACTTACGCATACCATTATCTTGTAAACTATTTATTCGTTTCACTATAAGGGTCTTAGGCTAAGATCGAAAATTAATCTTCAACTTTAATCTCTTACATCGATTAATGAAAGTAAAACATCACACTCTTCATAAATAAGAGTAAGGAATCAAGGAAATGTAACAATATAAATATTATGTACTTATAGTGCCAAAATCATAATAAACCATGAATTTTCTGTTTGTATGGAAGTAATACTATTTTTTTTATGTTTGATGCATGGCTGCATCTTGTACCGTGGTTGATGGAAATGAGAATTTTACATATTATAAGGGCTTAAGTGTCAAAAAAAAATCCAATTGTCCATAGTCGTATAGTTTAGAATCCATAATTAGGGTTCTTATAACCCTAATTCACCACCCTCAGTAGTTCTAGCCTTAGAGAAAAAAAGGTTCAAGGGAAGAGAAACAAAAAGGATAAGACTTTGGTGATTTTTGGGATCTTAAAGCATGGAAAAGGCAAAGAGACTTCTCTAGAGGTGAGAACTATACCCATGAACCCTAGTTTTTGTTTTCATGCCCATTAAGTAATTAGATTAAAGGAATTGCATGCAAGTTAGGGTTTTATGGTATTTTTAGGGTCAAATCTAGTTATGAGACCCTTGGCCATCATGCCTTGATCGTTGCACTTGAATAAGTCCCTAAGAAAATCTTATTATGGCCTGCATAGATTAAGAGTTGAATCAATTAAGGTTTAGATGCCCGCAGTAAACGCGGTGCACAAGGTAGACATACTTTCGCACGTAGTGTCATAGAATGTTGATGGTTTCTAGATTCATGATAGGAATATAATGTGTTCATGGGGGTGGAATGTGATGTGTAAGATCAATAAGAATGTATGTTATGCGTTATTTTTGACCCACTAAGACTTGTCATGACCCGTAAGTAGATAAGGTCAGCTAGGAAAGTATAGATACCAGTAGACACTTATTATGTGTATGAATCATTAATAGGTCTCTTTCAGTATACGTATACACTTTGGGTACTTATGGTCGTGTTTTGAGTGATTGTTGAAACTGTAGACATGTGAGTTTCATTAATCTATATGTACTATTGTATGTTACATGGAATGTTCTCATGTGTTATGGTTACATGTTCACTTTTATCAGCCTTGCTCTCGAAATATGATAGAGGAATCAACATACACCCTTCCTCTCAAAAAAGACAAGGGGTATCGGTTTATTGTCTTGCTCTCGAAAGGGACAAAAGGAATCTATTACATGCTTACATGTTATGTGCTTATGTGTGTATAGTAAAATATAAATGGTGCGTGCTTACCATGAATTTTGCTTACTTATTGATATTTAACACTTTTCAGGACCCTCGAGAGTAAATAAAGGAAAGAATCAAGTCTGATTGTCGAAGCATCCGTAATTTCGTATTTAATATTAAAACATTTAGCTTTCATGTTTTGAAAGTAAAGACTTCTATTAGTTTGCTCTAAATGTATGGAATTTGGGATGTGAAACAAATCATGGATTTTGGTTATGGGAAAGAACGAATACAATTATTTGAGTTTGGAATTTTATGATAAGTATTCTTAAAGAAACATTGAGACATTATAAGTTGGTATCAAAGTATGGTATTTGGGATTTAGTTATTAATTTGTTGTGTTTTGATAAATTAATTAGAAACTATTTAGGATTTAATGGGGAAATAATAAAGTAAAGGGATTAAATGTTAATTAAGTTGAAGTTAATTAATTGGAACATTCCATAAACCTAAGGGATAAGGTGGATGATTTTTGATAAAGCTTATCCAGGGTTTTGGAGTTGTTTTAGGACTAAGAAAATGAAGTCTATAAATAGAGGGTTGGGGATTAAATCCTATTGCTCATTCCATTCAGAAAAATTTGGCCCTCCTGAAGCACTTCTCTCAAAGAATAAATCCCTAACCCTTCTAGGGTTTGTCAGTTTTTTTTGTGTTAGCCTCCCCACTCTTATGTTTTTGTTATTTTTTCTTTTTGGTGTTTTTAGGTGTGAAACATTAGAGGGATTCTAGTTTGGGTGTAACATCCCGTTTATTAAATAAATAAGTAAATAAATGAATGATTGTATAGTAGCCCTAAAATCAATAATTATATACCAAGGTGTTGGTCTCGATGAGCTAATTGTCATAATTTTAGAGATTGGGGGTTAAAAGTGTAAAATCCAGATTCAGGTTGTAAATAATTATGAAGGCAGGGGCTGCTTGGTAACAATTAGGACTCAGTATGAAAGGAATTATGGAAGCAAGGGATAAAATGTAAATTCTGGATTTATATTGTAAAGATTTATGGAATCAGGGGCTAAAGTGGTAAATATTGGATTAAATTTGAAAAGATCCTGTGGGGAGGGACTAGACTTGTAACTATACAGAAGTTTTAAAGTGGACGGGGTTTATAACCACCACCCTCTCCATGCCAAACCCTAACATTAAGGATTCATTAGCTGCCACCTACACTCTCCATCCTTTAGCCGTTACCTCCTAGCTACCATTGAAGACGGAGATCATCGGGGCCAACCACCTTCTACGTCGGAAGTTGTTGATGTGGAACGCTGCTGTCATTCACCGGGCAGTTACGATCGCCACCTTTCTTCTCTCTTTCTTGATGTCGGCGCTGCCCCGTTTCACAGTGGTCTCTTCTCAGTCACGACCACCGTCGCCATTTGGCTCGGTTCTGTTACTCGGGTCGCTGCTCCAGTCACTGCAAACTACCGCCATCTCGTGGTGCCGCCGCTATCTCTGGCCAATGGCGTCGCTCCTGCTATTTCCTTTGAAGACGAGTTTGGCTAGTTCGTGGGTTTTCTGTTTGCTGGTGTGTGTTTCAGTGTGATTGGTAACCAAAAGGAATGTGACAGCCTGAAAATTATTGCCTTGTAAAGTCAAGCCAATCAACCTTAAGTTAGACTCGCTCCTGCTATCTTTTAGCATTGTTTAAAGTCTGTTTGGGTGTTCTAAACCTAGTACATTCAAGGAATGAGTGTTAGGAAGTACCTGCTAGAGTCTCTATACAACATTCAAGCCTTAAACACCACCAAAAGGAGTTCATGACCACAACACATGAGTTTGCAGCCGTAAACTCATGGTTAGCCGTAAACTCCCCCATTAAGTCTCATATCCTTCACTTTTTCTTCATTTCTTCCACTTTCAAGTTAAGAACACCCATTCTCTCTCAAGTATCATCAAACCTTTCATCCTAGATATTCATAAATGTAAGTGTTTCTTCCACCTTTGAGTTGTTATTCTTCTTAATCATGCATCATCCTTTGATTCCATCCACAAAAACCAACTCTTTTGTCTAGATCTCCATAATCATCATCTTTCACCAAGAACATGAAGAACACACTTTTTCTTGGAGGCCGAAAACGCCTCAAAGGCCCTCAAAAGTATGAGTATTCCATCTATCATCTAGTTAGGTATGTTAAACACTTTACCATAAACATCATGAGTTAACGGCCATGGAATCTCCCTTGGTCGTAAACCCATGGTTTGGACACATTTTGGCCGCAAACCCTTCTTAATTCCAAGCACTAGACCTTGAACCCTAATGGATGATAGATAGGACCTTAAAGCACTCTCTTTTGCATAATTTTCATGAGTTTACGACCGTAAACTCCTTGCTTGGTCGTAAACTAATTTGTCTTGGCCGTAAACACCAAGTGTGTGGCTGTGAACCCTCTTTCATACAATCACATGTGATTCAACACTTCATTTCAAGTGTTTCCTAGTCCCTAAAGGTGTTTCCTTGCATGTGGTTGCTTCTAAAGACTATATTCACGCCAATATATGCCATTATATGTCATTTAGGGCTCGTTTGTGTCTCGGGAGTTCATTCGTGGAACTTCTCATCGTTACATGCATCTGCAATTGAATCACTCATCAGTATTTTAAACTGTGTTAAATGCTTTTAGAGGGGGGGGATACAAGTTAAACATAATTGTTAATTGTGTAAATGTTTGTTATGAACATCTTTCAAAGGATTGCTTATGTTTTTATAAGTGATCAAAACATTTCAAAAACTCTTTTTAAGTTATGTTACTTTATAGTTTATAAAACTCTGTTTTTAAAGTACAATCATAACTTAGTAGATAAATGAGTCTTTTTCATATCAATTCAAGTAAACACACTAGTAAACTATAATAGGTATAGTTTAGAGGTTCATTTCACACTAGACACTAGAACATAGAGAACATACTATAAAGAGAAACATGGAGGAAGATTCAATACACGATAACAGAGAGAACATACTAATCACTATAACAGAAGAACAACTCATGATTAACAACATTATACCAATGATCACTAACTCATTGTTCTAAACAAAAGGTGATAATAAATGTGGTATACAAGAACAATATAACTTTAATGTGAGACTACTTCACGGCTCAGTAATTTGTTTGCTGAAGTCGCGTTTTGTAACCAGAATCTCTTGGAGGGAGAACGTATAGTATGGGTACAACAACATCACATTATGACCTTAATAAAACATACTTGTTTTAAGGTAATCAGTACTTCATTTGTCGGTTCAAAAGACAACTGCGTACTTACATTTTCCCATTACTTTCATATTGTGACAGTTCCACTTGAAAGTTAATGCAAACTATTTTCAAGTTAAGATAGTTATAAACTAGGGAAAACTTACATCTTTTCAAACGACAAACAGAACAGTCGAGTCTAGTACATTCAGTACAGAGGGGCCTATAACGCTAACTTTATGATTCCTTAGTTTATACATCAGGAATATATATTAATCAAATCCGACAAGTAGTAGGATGTGTGCTTTCCACTTCATTTCCAGTTCCTTGTTTGGTTGTGGGCTTAGAGCAGATTCACCCAGCCTACCATCTATTCAATCTTAGCTATATATATGTTCTGTATATACCAAGTCATCATAAGGGGTTCCAGGTATGGGTCAGGTCATAGGCCACTAATTCAATGCACCGTTTTCTAGTACAAAACATACTTTTTCAAATAGAACATTAGCTATACAAAACTAGAAACTTACCAGTAAAGGGTTTAATCCATTTTTATTAAACCAGCATAACTTAAAGGACCTTAGGTGGTTAATTCTATAATACCTTAGTTTATACATCAGGGTTATATATAATTAATACCCGATAGATAGTTAGATGTGTGCCTTCCGCCTCATTTCCTGTTCCTTGTTTGGTGGTGGGCTTAGGGCAGATTCACACAATTAACTACCTGTTTGATATTAGGTTATATATAGCTAGTATAAACTAAGAGATTATAGAAGGAACCACCATGGTTAGCAATTTTTACTAAAAGAAATAAGGGTTTTCTTAAAGAATCTTTTCATTAAATATAAAGGAACTATTATAGTTAACTCTGTGAATACCAAGTGAATACGCCAGGGTTATATACAACGATGATCTAACAAACAATGGGATGTGTGCTTTCCGCCTCATTTCTTGTTCCTTGTTTGGTTGTCGACTTAGGGCATATACACACAACCAATTGTTTGTTTACTATGGGTTTTATATAACTTCTATCCACTTAATATTCATAGCATGGATTGTAGAGTCATTTTTACTTATCTTTCATCAAAGCAGGAAATATAGGATTTTCTGGAAGAACATGCTAACTTTTCTAAATAGAACTTACAACTTACTACAACTTTCTTACAACTTATTTACATCACTAAAATCTTATGAACTCACCAGCTTAAATGCTGATATACTCTTTCAAAATAACTTGCATTCTCAGGAAACCAGTAGACAGGTACGCGTACTGGAAATTCAGAAGATGGAGCAGTATAGCTTCATGTATTGTTTTGTTATTTATTTATTTTCTATGTTATGTAAACCACATACTTTGTAAACACTTTCTGTCTAATGAAATGGTTGTTTATTACTTTGATTACTATGATGCATGTCTTGTGATACTAAACATGAAGTCTTCCACCCCCGAACGTTTCTGCCGTTCCGGTTTGGGGGTGTGACAAGGAACCACCGCCACCATCGTGAGGTGCTGGCTGCCATCCCAAAACGGTTTTTGTCGCCGTCGTGAGCCACCAGGTGGGTGGATGGAGTGTATACCACTATTAGAAGTGTATGTTACATGTGTTTTGTCTAGCCGAAAAGTCGAGGATAGACACCGCCACCATGTGCACCGCCGACCACCGCAAGGGTGGTTTTGTGTGTTTATTTTAGTGAGTGTGTGTGTGTGTTTCCATTTGTTATTTTTCATTGTAATATTGTAACCAGAGCTAGAATAATAAAATGAAACTTAGAACCACCATCGTAGGTGGCTACCGCAACCAACTGTCGTGTTGGGTGGCAGTGTGCTTTTGCTTACGTGTAGTTTTTTTATTGGTTGCTTGGAAAAAATGGACTAGAAACCCTAACCACCACCGTGAAGTGGTGGCCGCCGCCGTGAGCTGTCGTTGACCACCACTACCCGAGGTGGTAGTGGGTGGTCCCCGACTAGCAAAATCCTAATGGGCCTAGTGAAACCCTAATGGGCCTAATGAAACCCTAATTAATCTATAGATTTAGTTTTGGGCCTATTGATTTATGATTGGGTTGGAAACCATAATTAGGGTTTAGAAAACCCTAATTTTGGAATCATGGGCTTGGACTTATCGGGGACTGGATTTTGGGCCATTGGAATTGGACTATGTATTAAGCCTGATTACACCATATGATTTTGTTGGGTTTTGAGCATTCTAACACTCCTAAGTGTACACGCAACCCTAAATACATTGGATCTATGTTTTCTCTATTATACATGCAAATATGAACTTTCCAAGGTAATCACCCTAACTAGCATAATAACATTGATTCAAATGAATATATCAAGTTAGAATTACATACCTCTTTGATGTAGAATGTCTTCATGAAGCTTGAGTGCCTAGTGCCCCAAGTGTGACACCTCAACTGGTTCACACAACACCAAATGCACATGGAATGACTTGAGAGAACTTCACACTTCATGAAAATCGGCTAGCCCTTTCTATTACTCATAGTGGATGATTTTTCCCAATAATATGATCTTTATATAGTGTCACAATTAGGGTAAACCCTAATTTTCATGGCTTTCCATTTCCTAGGATACATGGGTTCAAATACACCATGGAGCATCCTATGGGTTTTAGCCCAACTTGATAATCCATGGTGCATTAGCCCACTATACAAGTATGAATGATTTACACAATCAATCCATATATTTAATTAGTCTTCTTTTGATCACTTAATTAATTCTTGATCAATACTAATTAAATAATCCTATTAATATATTAGAACTTATAATATATTAATAATCCTTAAGTCTTATTTCTCTCATTATAGTCTATCTAAATACATGATGCCATGCAACCCAAATGGACCATGTCGGGTCGAGTCAAGTCTCACCAATTATAGTTATGGACTTACACATTAATCCAATAGTCTCCCACTTGGATAAGTCTAAAACTATTATTGCGTATGACTTTAAGAACCGACTAGCAATCGTAGCTCTCAAAAGCTTCTGTCGAACTCTGACCTTGTAGATGAACTCTGACCTTGTCAATGACTTTTCCATTAGATAAGGGATCATATATTCCTCCATTCTAGATATCATATGGACTGAGACATGGATTATAATTATTCTCTCTATCCATTTGTTGTTTCCCGATTTCCGATTTATGACGACTGACTAATTGAACAAATCAAATCAGTCCTGGCCCGGCCGAGCACTTCCAGTTGTCATCATCAAATAATCGAGAGGCCCACATATATTTCCTTTATCCTGAAGGTACAAGTAATGGATAAACTTCAACTCATATGGCTTGTTCT